CGAAAATTCTTTCCGTCCTCACCATTTAAACTAGGGGCTAATCCAACCCCTTTGAGGGGAGGCCTAGGCTTACCCTTAGATTTAAAAATAAAAAAAAACAAAAACTTATTAATATATAGACCTACAGAAAATTGTTATTAAAATATATACTCAAGCCCATCCTCAGATTTTTTTTTAAATAAGAACTATTATACGTATATCTAGGTTCATAAAAAATTTGTTATTAATATATATATTCTAAGCCCACGTCATATTAAAAGTTTAAAACTTTTTCCACTATTTTTCTCCACAACTCTACCTGTTTTTTATGATTTTATCCCTAAAATTCTTTACTCTCTCATACATGTTATTTGCTCTTAAAACTTTTGAAGACTGAACTTGTTGAAGCTTTCACTACTCAAGATGCCACAATTAGCTTCATTTTCTGTTTTATCAGTTTTAGGTATGTGTATTGCACATTTCAATTTAGTTAATTTTAGGGTTAAATCATGTTTGTTTTTTTGGAGGTTTTTTATTCTAATTTGAGGGAAAAAAACATGAATCTTGTGAATTTATTTTGTGTTTTATGTCTAAGAATGAACCTGTTTTTCCAAATTAAAATATTAACTATATTTTAAAGGACATTATTTTTCACCTGTCACCCACCACTTTCCTACATTTCAAATGTCATTGTTTAGTTATATAAAATTATTAAAGAAATTCAAGTTACTATCTATGTTTATGTCAAGAAAATTCCATTTTTTGTATTAATTCATATTAAAAGTCAACACAACGTTGACTTGATTTAAGTTGTGGTTGACTTTAGCTTAGGTTAGGCCTAATCAAAATCATAAAAATTTATATTATAATCTTTAGAAGCCAAAAATAAAAAAATAAAAAGGTTTTGCTCAAGGTTTACTCAACATATTTACTCAAAATTTTACTTTTCATAGATTTATTAAAGTAAAAAAATATTGTTTTATTACATTCTTTTCAGGTTCTTGATATTGTTTTTTTTTTAAGGTTTGGTAATTTTTTTAAGTTTTTACTAATTGTTTGACAAACAATGCCGAAATTGCAGAGGCCACCTTGGGCAAAAATCCTGGATCTGCCACTGATTTGAACCTTCGGTCTCTTCTCTATAAAACTTCTGTCACCTCAACACCTGATATTTTGCCGATTGTCGGTCAGAACAAAGCTAAGGTTTTCTGTTCTTAATTAATTTTCAGTTGATTCTGATAGTGAATATTCAATCGGTCACCCGAAATCAACGGCTGAGGGTTGCACTTTTCTTTTTCATTTTTCAAACTTTCCCTCTTATATATGGAGCTGATAATCCTACTAAAATAGAAGTAACAGGGTTGGAAGCTTACTAGAACACAATCATTGGCAACAGCATCATTAGGGGTGATCGGTTTTAGGTGCTCTATATTTTTTTAAGGAATTGGAACGAAAATCAATCGATACCTAAGATTTGGAACTAGAACTGGAACCAGTCAGCTCTGGTTCTTGGAAACCTGATATCAGAACCTGAAACATAGGTTTTGGTTCCGGTTCTGAGTATTCGGATTAATTTTAATTACCCCTTACTTCTACAAAAAAGACAAATACACCCCCTAAAAACTTACTAATACACGCTCAACAATTTACAAAAATTACAATTCAATCTCAATTCCTAACTGGGTACTTAGACCTTGATTCCAGTTCTGGTTCTGGTTCTGGTTCTAGCATTATAGGCATTGAAATTGGACCCAAAAATTTCCAATTCTAATTTTCTAAAACTGGAACCGAACCCTAACAGGGTCGGTTCTGGTTCTACTATTTACCCATGCTCACCCCTAAGCATCATATCTATGCAAAAAATGAAACTCGTTGGATCTAGATTTGCTTGCATATATCAGGTATAGAATTGAAGAGAAGATACTGGTTGTTTGACCCAAAAATGATAAGATTCTTATTATCCCATTAATCCCAATAGGTACAAAGATATGGTGGAACCTTGATGGAGATTACAAAAGTAAAGAAACAATATTGGTAGCGTAAAGCCTAAATGTGTTTAAGCTTGCTTGTGTAGTAAAAATTTGACTTGTCTTCTTCAATTGCAATCCCCATGTTATAAGGGTTCTTGATTATGGGTTTTATGACTTGTCCCTTAAGGTAAGGAGTCATGAAGCATAACCTTGATAATGGGGTATCGTATAGATGGTGTTTCTATTTCTCTTTGACTTCCTATTCTTAAAGAATTGGATTGTAACTTGTAAAATATGAGGGTTTGGGCTCTTTTTGACTTTTCCTTTGATCCATCTTATTTTTGTAGGTTGATAAATAGGACTCGTCCTTTCGCTATTGGTCTTTCCTACCTATTTACAAACTGATCAATCGTAAACAGTTATTTTAGGGTTACTAGATAAAATTTATAAGATTGGTTTGTGAATCAATCTTTATCCTAACTTTTGGGCTTCGATACTTATATCCTTACTATGCTTTTTGCTTAGGCTTGCATGACTTTACAATTGTCTCTTGATTTGGCCCTAAACTTATTTATGGAAACGTTAGAATATCTGTCTCCTACTGTTATCAACCTTTGTTCATAAGCTTTTTTGTTTTGATTATAATAAACATGATCAGTTAAACAAATCCAAGGGTTGGTGTTGATTCGATTAAATATATCATAGCATGAAGTTTTAATATTACAGAATGTGACAAATTTAGTTGTTTCTAAGAATTTAGTTGAGTCAATTGGAAGATTGGCATTTGGCATTTGGCAATGTGTCATAAACAAAAGAGATGAGTTCAATCATTATATGTCTGTTCCTTATCTTAATGGCCACATGGTTTTATTACTTTAATACTTTAGAACAGTCCAGAGCTTCCTTCCTTCTTTACTTCTTTTGCTTTCTTTCTTTCTTCAACAATATAATGTCAAAATAATCTCAAGGGTAAAGACTTTTCCTACTCAAGGTTTGCCTTATTGACATTGTCCACCAAATAAGCTTCAAAATATCACCTTTCACCCAAAGTTTATGTTCTATTAAGATAAATATTAATTCACAATCTAATTTTACAAACTTTCTCTCACAACTCTGATATAACAACTCATAATTAAGCAGATGTAACCTATAGTGAGTAAGCGGGATCCATTTGCGAGCCGACACATCGGGATTGTGAGAAAAAGTTTATGAGTGAGAAAGTTGTAAGTGTAGTATTACCCATTTCGTTAATATCCAAAGCTAATTTCGACTGCGAAAATTCTTTCCGTCCTCACCATTTAAACTAGGGGCTAATCCAACCCCTTTGAGGGGAGGCCTAGGCTTACCCTTAGATTTAAAAATAAAAAAAAACAAAAACTTATTAATATATAGACCTACAGAAAATTGTTATTAAAATATATACTCAAGCCCATCCTCAGATTTTTTTTTAAATAAGAACTATTATACGTATATCTAGGTTCATAAAAAATTTGTTATTAATATATATATTCTAAGCCCACGTCATATTAAAAGTTTAAAACTTTTTCCACTATTTTTCTCCACAACTCTACCTGTTTTTTATGATTTTATCCCTAAAATTCTTTACTCTCTCATACATGTTATTTGCTCTTAAAACTTTTGAAGACTGAACTTGTTGAAGCTTTCACTACTCAAGATGCCACAATTAGCTTCATTTTCTGTTTTATCAGTTTTAGGTATGTGTATTGCACATTTCAATTTAGTTAATTTTAGGGTTAAATCATGTTTGTTTTTTTGGAGGTTTTTTATTCTAATTTGAGGGAAAAAAACATGAATCTTGTGAATTTATTTTGTGTTTTATGTCTAAGAATGAACCTGTTTTTCCAAATTAAAATATTAACTATATTTTAAAGGACATTATTTTTCACCTGTCACCCACCACTTTCCTACATTTCAAATGTCATTGTTTAGTTATATAAAATTATTAAAGAAATTCAAGTTACTATCTATGTTTATGTCAAGAAAATTCCATTTTTTGTATTAATTCATATTAAAAGTCAACACAACGTTGACTTGATTTAAGTTGTGGTTGACTTTAGCTTAGGTTAGGCCTAATCAAAATCATAAAAATTTATATTATAATCTTTAGAAGCCAAAAATAAAAAAATAAAAAGGTTTTGCTCAAGGTTTACTCAACATATTTACTCAAAATTTTACTTTTCATAGATTTATTAAAGTAAAAAAATATTGTTTTATTACATTCTTTTCAGGTTCTTGATATTGTTTTTTTTTTAAGGTTTGGTAATTTTTTTAAGTTTTTACTAATTGTTTGACAAACAATGCCGAAATTGCAGAGGCCACCTTGGGCAAAAATCCTGGATCTGCCACTGATTTGAACCTTCGGTCTCTTCTCTATAAAACTTCTGTCACCTCAACACCTGATATTTTGCCGATTGTCGGTCAGAACAAAGCTAAGGTTTTCTGTTCTTAATTAATTTTCAGTTGATTCTGATAGTGAATATTCAATCGGTCACCACTATTTTATCTACTGACTCTACTTTATAAAACTCCTCTTAACTTTGCTTATAATAACTCATGAACACTGGTTAAGAAAATGAATAATATTTTAAGTATTAACGAAATAATGAAATATAAACTTTTGGTAAAAAAAAAGGTATTTTGAAACCTTTTACATGGGCAAGTATCATAAAGGTAAATCTTCGGTGGGAAAAGTACGTTTACTCCAAAAGTAAAATAATCCTACCTAATCTTTATAATTAAATTTGTAGAAATTCTGAAAACCAAGAACAAAAAAAAGTACCAGCGACAAATGAAAAAGAATAATTAAAAAAATTGAAAAAACAAAAAAACAAAATGGGTCCACAACTTAGTCTAGAACGTTGAAAGTTACGAGAAAAAGTTAAAAAAGAAGTTTGTCCACATTTATGTTTGGCTACTGTAGAATAGTATTTTAAAAAAAAAAAAGGAAAAAAAAAAGAGTAAAGTTGAATGGTAAAATTAATGAAGCAAAGTATAAAATTACCTAAAATTGGACACTCCTGTGCACAATAACACAGACAAACCGATACTCAAAACCTCACTCATTCCTCTAGAAACCGCTTTTCAGCTCTTCATCTTCAACCCAAAAAAATGGCCGCTGCCGCACCACCGCCGCCACCAGCCCCAGCACCGGAGCCCTCCATCGCTTTCCAAGAGTCCTCTCGCCGTGACAACCCTCTCTTCTCCCGCATCCGTCTGGCCACTCCCGCGGACGTGCCGCACATCCACAAACTCATCCACCAAATGGCCGTCTTCGAACGCCTTACTGACCTCTGCTCCGCCACGGAATCCTCTCTCTCCGCCACCCTCTTCAACTCCGCTCCCTTCACCTCCTTCACCATCTTCCTTCTCGAAGTCTCCCCAAAACCCTTCCCCTCCTCCGAACGCGTCATTTACTTAGATCACCCCCTCATCGATCCCCAGCGCGAAACTTTCATCTCCGATAATGTTAACGATGTTACTGTTGCTGGGTTCGTTTTATTTTTTCCGAATTATTCCACGTTTCTCGCGAAACCCGGGTTTTATATTGAGGATTTGTTCGTGAGAGAGTGTTACAGAAGGAAGGGTTTTGGGAGGATGTTGTTGAGTGCCGTCGCGAAACAAGCAGTGAAAATGGGGTATGGGAGAGTTGAGTGGGTTGTGCTTGATTGGAATGTTAATGCTATTAAGTTTTACGAAGAGATGGGGGCTAAAGTTCATGATGAATGGCGGATTTGTCGGTTGACCGGTCCGGCTCTTGAAAAGTATGGTGATGATGCTATTTAGAGTGTTTTGTTAATGTTTATGAGAGATCGTCTTCTTTTGACAATGATAAGGTTGTTACTGAAGTTGATGTTATTGAATATTATCATCTAAGTATTTGTTTCCCGGACTTTAAGTTTGTTGTTTCATTCACCATTATACGTTTGTTTTCTGATTGAGATGTGTTGTTTCATTTCTGCTTAGTTTATAATAAGAAAAGTATAAAAAGAGAAAAGGGTCATTGTCATTGTGTTCCCATGAGGCCAATTAAAATAGATTATGTTTAGATCATGATATTCCAGTGTTTTAGAATTCTTTTAGATCATGGTACTCCAGTGTTTTAGAATTCTATTTGGTTATCCATTTTACTTCAGATGAGGACTTTTCAGGTAGGTTTATGGGAAAAGTATAAAATGATTTTAACCATTTGTAGGTTTATCCTAATGAAAAGTTCTATTTGGTGCTTTTCCATTTGTTTATGGAAGAATTAATTTTTGCGGAATTTCTTTTGTGCTTATTTCCCTCATATATATTGGGATGATAATGCTATTATTCCTCTTGCTCTTTCGAATATTCTGCCAAGTAAAGTACTAGACATGGGGAAAAACGATGTACATGTTAATGTCAATAGTAATGTGGTCGGGAGGAGATGGGAAGGAAGCTGGTGTGGAAAAGAAAAGGTTAAATAGTTTAAATGCTTGACAAAAATGTTGTAACCAATCTAAGTTATTTTGGCAAAATGACTGGCTTAGTGATAGATTTTGGGGTTCAAGTTTTTGGTGGAGAAGTTATAGGTTGCTCAATATCTCTTGTTTATTAGCATTAAAATTTTAGGATTGTTTGTTACACCTGCTGAGCTTCTGAACATGTTGATGTTAAATTTTAATAGTTTGTAGACTAAAGGAGTGTGTTCACTTTATATTTAGGGTCATCATCTTCATCTGGAAAGCTTTACCATCTCTGTAAATATCATTTATCTTTCAACTCCATCATTTTTAATGCCCACAAACACCGTTTTACCTGCATCAACTTCACCATTTTCTATTATTGAGGTTTTTTTTACCTGATTGTTCTGTTTTGTAAAATATCTGCTCAAGAGTTTTCCTCTATACAGATTTGTTATAATGGATCATGCTCTGCATTTATATTTATTTTTTAAATATGAATTCTATCAAATCATTGTTACATCAGATAGTTTCAGGTTTATCATTTAGTTGAGCTTGCATGCTAGTTTTAATTCTGAATCCTTCCAACTCCCACGTTGAGACTCGGGCTGAACTCATAATTTCTTCACTGTGGAAGAAACGAGTTTGAACATTGATTTTTCAGGCGTCTGGATTTCGAGTGCAGGGGTGGTCAGACTCAGTTATTAACTTAAAGAAAATTGTTCCATTAAGTAGATATTCAGGGAAGTGCTTCTTATTGCTTTATTTTGTGCAGTAATTCCTTTTGTGAGCAGATTTAATGGTTGAAATTGGGCTGGTAACAACCTGGCCAGCAGGTAACAAACCCCCAAAAATTAAATCCAGAAGAAAGATTGGAAAAAGTATTATTAAGCAAAAGAAATGGATGCCCATCATCTGTCTTGACAATTTAATGGGTATACAGAAGATTTATTACTCTTGGTCTTAGATTAGACTCTTTAGTCAAAATTCAAGTATCTTTGCTTGCAGGATACGGAGTTGTTGAAAGTGGAAATGCAGTGGCTGAAAGGTCATTGTTGTATTTCTATGGAAATATTTCAAGTCAGAAATAAGGCATTTTAATTTCAAAGTAGTTTGTCTAGCACTAGCAACCCCATTAACCATTAAAGAGTGGTTCTTTTAAGGGTTCTTTTATACTTTAGACATCTATTTACTGATTCTTTCAAAACACGTGCCAATCCCAATCATTTATTTTTTTCTTCAAAATTTGACAACTCCTTTCAGAAAATGTTGATACCAACCAACAAAAACATACCCACATTTAATCGAAGTTTTTATATTATATTGTTGGAATAAAATTTTCAACAAATCAAGTTTTATATTATTTTCTTGAAAAAGAAATCCTTGTCGATGGAGGGAAGTTGATAGCTTGTCACCTAACTCACTGTCAGTCTCTCATTATAAAATTCTTCATGACCTGTATGCATTCTTCTTTATAATTATCAGCGGTTGTATTGTACCCACTTCATAATTTGAACTAGTCAAGGTCATTTATTCTTAATTAAATTTTTTTAGTATTTTAAATAATAAAATATGTAGTTCATTTTATGTAAATAATGAATTATATACAAAAAGATGCTTGGATTAGATGTTAGCCATTGAATCGTTTGATATAACAAGAAAAATTCTTTTGAAGAATGGGAGTTGATAGACATTTACTAAATTTGACTTTTTAACATTAACATCATCATCTGTTTGAATTTAAAGGGGTTAAGAGCTTCCCTGGTTTAGAATTCAGAAATGAATAGAAAATGGCTGCTCGAAGTTTATCCTTTTAATCATCTTGACCAGTCTATACTCTATACAATAAAATTGGATTGATTGCTTAGACGTACACGTGCCTATTACATACGCTATTTGAAGCCCAGTTCATACGCAAAAGTTTTAGACAGCCAAAGACCCAGGAACACGACAGCCCGTGAGCTTTCAGATGTTCAGTTAGCCAACGTTAGCAACTGACAGAGACCAGAGTAGAAGCCTCCAAAACCCAATTTCACACAACCATCAAAATCTTCTTCAATCTTAAATCTCTGCTATGCTCACATCACGACATTCAAAATCCCATCGAATCTCTATGCTATATTTCACCCATGTGTAGATCAAAACGTAGCACAGACATAGTCTCACAGATGCCACGCAACTCGCGCTCTTCAAAATCCTCATTCAAGTCCAAATCATCTTCGATAACCGACCCTTCTTTAAGCAACTTTACCAGCAACGATTACACGCCCAATTCCCATTACAATTTCTCCTCAAAATCGTCCGGTAATAGCGCAGCTTCAACATCCCTCAAAACTCTAAGAGAATCTTTACCAGAAAACCCCCACATTTACGACTTCTCAGAAATCTTTTCGGCTACCAATAACTTCTTGTCCAACAAGTTCAGCTCCTCCTCTTCTTCCACCTCTTGGCGTTCCTCCATTCGGGGTAAAGAGGTAATCATCTTTCAACGCAAGTTGAGGCGTGTTTTGGAGTTGGAACAGTTATGTGAGAGGTTATCTGTGATTTGTCGTAGTCATCATAGTAGTTTAATCAAGCTTCTGGGTGCTTCTGTTTCTGGGAATTATATATATCTTGTTTATGAATATGTTTCAGGAGCAAATCTTTCAGATTGTCTCAGGAATAAAAATAATCCAGATTTTACAGTTTTGTCTTCATGGCTCTCGCGTATGCAGGTCGCTACTGATCTTGCTCATGGTCTTGATTATATTCACCATTTTTCGGGTCTTCAGTCCAATCTTATTCATAATCATATTAAGAGTTCAAGTATTATAGTTAGTGAAGGAGATTCTGATTCTGAGGCTTTGTGTGCTAAGTTTTGTCATTTTGGGACTGCTGAATTGTGTGGTGAAGTGATGGGGAAGAATGATTCTAAAGTAAGGAAAATTGAGGGGACTAGAGGGTATATGTCTCCGGAGTTTCAGCTTTCTGGGGTTGCCTCTCAGAAGTCAGATGTGTATGCTTTTGGTGTGGTGATGTTGGAACTAGTGTCTGGGGATGAGGCATTGAGGTTTGTTTTTGATGAGGGGAGTGGTGCGTATAAGAGGATTAGTGTGATTGAAACAGCGTGTGAGGCAGCTGCTGGTGGTGGTAGTGGTGTGAGGAGGTGGGTGGATAGGAGGTTGAGGGACTCATATCCGGTGGAGGTGGCTGAGAAAATGGTATTGCTGGGTTTGCAGTGTGTGGATGAATATCCGGAGAAAAGGCCTGATATGAGGCATGTGGCAGGATTGGTTTCTAAGTTGTATTTGGAGTCCAAGACTTGGGCTGAGAAAATTGGTTTGCCTACTGACTTTTCAGTGTCCATAGCACCTAGATGAGGGTATTTTTGTTGCTGATTCTTGGCGGCTTTACAGTTGTTTTTGTGGTGACACTGATACATTGTATAGTTGAGTTATTGCTTCAATTTTCTTTTTTCATTCAAAGTGATTCTTTAAAGGTGGAACATGTGAATATTGTTTCTGTTCTGAATAATATACTAGCAGAATTTTATACTACAATCTTTGTTATTATTGTGTTGGATTGATTGATATTTTTATCCTCTTGTCTTCTCTTATGACCAGATTCAGTCTATAGTTTGATTTATATTTGCTGTGTTTGCAACGAGTCCAAGTCATATGGCGATTAGAACCAAAACTCCTAGTGCCTCAAGTTAGCTAAAAACTATAGTTGAACCATCCTATATGTTTAGTCATAGTTCTTTATTTGGCAAGAGAGTTCCAGCCTAGATAATAAAAGACAGGTTCTAAAGATTTGGTTGTAGGGTTAGAGGCCCGTGATGCTCTGTTTTTAGACATGCTATACATGAAAGCTTTCATCATGATATGCAAGAATGCTCATTTATTCAATTGGGAAGAAAACCTCTAATGATTATCTTGTTTGTCCAAACTAGCAGAATTTATTCAAAATTTATTACAGACTGGAAATCCGTTTTTCCCCTGCTTCTAATTCAGCAAATCAAGCACCACGTATATTAAGGAGACTGATAAACAGGCATACTTGCATAATTTGTTGTGTTTCTGTTTAAATAATGCATGGCAGATGCCTTTGGAGATGATGAGTAAGATTCCCCTTTTCTCTTCTCATCGCCTTTCAGCCTTATGAATCTTGAACCTAAATGTTAATTGATGCTGTACTGTGAAGCCAGCAAGTGTTGGAGAGTTTTGCATCATTTGCAGATAGTTGATGCTCACACTAGAACCAGATTGTTCCCTGGACGAGAGAATGGCTGTCGGACTTTTCTTCTAGGTCTTCGCTGTTGAAAGCATGTACTCCATCAAAATATCTGGGGAATGATGTATGCAATGAGGTGTGTCATGATTGATGGGGCAGAACTCATTTGTGTTCCCTTCCATATGCAGGCAAGATAGCTACAAATCGTTTAGATGGTAAGTATCATATTCAGCATCAAATTTAGTTTTTAAAGTTTACTTCTGGAGATTGCAATGGGTTAGTTTTAGGAATTAATTTAATCTTGTTGCAAGAGTACCCAATTGGAACTTTTCTTTTCCTCATATATTATAGGAGGAGACCAATTTGAACTTGTCTTTTCTTCTGACGATTTCCTTAAGTAGAGATGATGTCATATGAGAAAATATATTCATATGATATCATGAGAATCTTAATATTTCAATTATATTATCTGAAAATTCCCTTTCGTCGGAGACTTTGTTTAAAATTTGATGAGCTCATATCATGGTGAATACAACCATGAAATATTGATCAATTCCTACTCTATTAAGAAATTCATTTGACCACTGTGTTACGTTGAATCCAATGCAGACCTTAGCTAATTGAGTATTTTATCCAAAAAAGTCATTGATGGTTTCAAGCATTTTTTCACCTGTAATGATGAGCAGGGCTGCATATGAAATTATTTAAACTATTTAACCAACTATTTTTCTCCCCTCTGAAGTCAACAATTTCACCAGGAAAGTGGGGGAAAAACTTGACAGCATTTCCCATTTATATGCCAGAATCAAAGAAGAAAAATATATGAAACTGATAACAGAGTGTTGGGCTATTATGACTCGTTTTCTTATTTGTTTTCATATAAAATTGTATGTTTTGGAGAAAACTATTTGATAAGGAACATAGTTGTAAATAGGAATAAAATTTAAGAATCGTATTAGGAATTGAAATATAAATCCTATTAGAAATAGAATATTTCATATTCTACTTATAAATATATGAGTGAGAACCAATTCAAGGTTATGAGAGAATGTGAGAACACAGAGTATTTAATATTTAATGTAAAAGTTATTAAACATCATGTGTAGAGTGTCTTAGAAATTATGATTGTTTTCGTTCTAAGTACTAGGTTAGAAATTAGAATTGTTTTTACTCTATTAATTATCTACTGGATTTATGGTGTTGTGTATTCTTATATGTCATGTTTATAAAATTATAGTGGATTTCTCTCATCTATGAATGTAGGCTGGTTATATCGAACCACGTAAATGTTATTTCTCTTTATATGATACAATTTCAGTCTTATTTTATTTATCTCAAATGTATGTATTTCGTCGTGCCCTTTTAAAGATTAAAGCAGAGTTGTTGAAACCATCGTACATATTATAATATGCGTTGAACAGAAAGTAAATCTGTATTTCTGTAGTAACGACAGTTATAACTTAGTGATAAAACAATAAGCAAAACAGAGGAAACCACTCGTCACTTTAAAGTGCTGAAAGGCTAAAGCCGCGATGGTAATTGCCCCAAAGCTGATGTAGTGCTTCCTGATTTGATGGCTCCAGTTTTTTCTTGATGATCTGTTGGTAGTTGGTACTTCCCATCGTAAGTAGCAAAAAGCTTTACCAGTGTACCGATTATGTTATCAAATTCATTCCTTTGGATCCTTTACATCCTTCAGAGGATCCTCTCTTTCTTCCGAGCATAATACGGAACATAACTACAGGTTTTGTTTTTCCTTATCTTCAATTTTATAGTCGTCTGGCATTTGCGAGAGAAGGGTAACAATGAGAGAAGGGTAACAATGCCATCAAGCATCACCCCCCCGACATTATTAGCTGTGTATCCCAAAGGAACCGAGATTCACATATAAACCTGGTTGATGCAACGGTGGCCAAACTTGAGATTTAGAATCCAGAGCTCATCCAACATCAATAATGTTGTTATGCCTGGTAAAGTAGGGTTGATGCAGAGCCCTGTCCAGAGCTTAGGTAAGTCCAGCAGCCATTCAGATGCAGTCACGTCGCACGCTGATGCAAGCGGCATGTTCCTGCCAGTGTAATAGGTGTGCGCCAGGCTGGTGAAAAGCTGGAGGCGATCTACATGTCCAATCCCTGCAAGAGTTGAGTAAATCACTCGAGCAGGTGAGTAACGGGACGCAAGGAAAGATTTGCACGACAATCTGACCTACTTCTTGATTTAGCAATCATTACCTCAATTTATTCCACTATAAATAGAGGGTTCCTCTCCCGTTTGTAGGATTAACTAATTTCTCTCTGAAATAGCATATATACTCTCTTTCTCTCTTGTAACCTCTTGTAAGTCAGCTCGCTAAACGCGACCTGATCTCAAATATATTAATACAATATCAGTAAACGTAGGATTTACTTATTTAAGCATCCGAACCACTTTAAATACCGTTCTTCATTTTTTACTCAGTTCAATACTCCTGTACATGTGTGTCTTCTGAGTCAGCTCAGCATTTTCCACGTGCGTTTAGTTGGTGTTAAAATCGAGCATCAACAGTTTGGTGCTAGAAGGAGGGTCTGATTTAGTATTCGTTCTTCATCAGGAGAATCTCTAACTAATCGGTCCTACAACAGCAAATGGCTCGCTGATTTGAACTTGAGCGAACCAATCATGGTGAGGAAGAGATCCCCCAGGTGCAAGAGGACACTTCTTCTGAAGTGCCCCCAGTCCCGCAAAATCTCGTGGGGGATATCCCTTCGAGCTCACAGCTTGATCCAACCATCATGAGCTACCTAGAGAGGTTCAACAATACTCTCTAAATTGTCAACCAAAGGTTGGACTGTTTAAATCGGATCGCGCCACCCGAATCAAATGAGACAGTGCCACTGCCAAAAACGCCTATAGGTTGCATGAAAGCGCGGAAAAGGGCGATAACCCGTGCCGCAAGCACTGCAGCGCGTCAAAGGAAGGGAAAGTAGGTGGCGAACAGCGGGCCTAGAGGCTCCGAGGGACCAGCAAACACCGATCGCACCCTAAGTAGAAAACCCGTGGTGCAAAGTCTTGGTGACATGTCGCAGCCTGAGCTGTCCCCTGCCATATCGCGCGAGCACTCCTACAAAAGTGCAAGGTGGGGAGATTCCCACTATCGCCAAAATGACGACTCTGATCGTCATCGTGTGGGAAGTTCCTACCATTCGCAATTGGTTTGCACCACCGTGGAGGTCGGGAAGGTTCCCCAGACCATTCATCGCCATCACACAACTTTAGCCAGCGTGTGTCAAGAGCGGCTGGAATTTTCGGCCGAGGCGAGGAGGAATCTGACCTTCAGACTTTCCTTAACCGCAATATCGCGAGGGTCGAACCCGCATGGGGGAAAGTAATCCCCGAATGGCTTCGCTGCCTCAGATTGAGGAGCTACAGCGAGCTTTAGATCAGCTAAAGGCTCAGCAAAATGAGCGAGGGCAGGTCGCAGAGGCGTCTCCCTTTTCTCCGGCTGTGTTAGCCGCCCCTCTCCCGTCCAGATTCAAAATGCCCGACATGCAAGCGATCAATGGGAATTCTGATTTGCAGGATCATTTGTATGAATTCAACGACCTGATAGAACTTCAGCAGGTTTCTGACTTGGCAAAATGCCGATGCTTGGCAGTGACTCTTACATCTCATGCCAAGCGATGGTTCAAGTCGCTCCCGGCGGGATTGATCAGCTCGTGGAATCAGATGAGCTTGACATTCCTGAGATACTTTCAGGCGAACAAGAAGTTCTCAATGCCTTTGAGCTACCTCAACCACGTAAGGCAAGAGAGGGATGAATCCCTCCAATCCTACATCGACAGATTTCACAAAGAGCTCCATAAAGTAGCTTACACTCTCGAAGAGTCCGTTCGGACTCTCATCATCGCGAGAGTTCGTCCACAGACAGATTTGTGGAAGGAGCTGCAATCAGAGGACGATGTTTCTCTCACTCGCTTCTACAACCTTACGGAGAAATACCTCCATATTGAGAACTCTGTGTCCTTCGGGCAGTACGCCAGGTTAGGGGGAAAATATGAGGGTTGATCGTCGATGGGCTAACGATGATCAGCGAAAAGGAAAGAAACAGCGGTTCGAGCCCAAGAAGTCTTATGCTCCGGTTCCTCGTCGCGATTGCGACAGGAATCAATATACCCCTTTGAATGCATCTGTCTCGGCCATTCTTGACAAGTCAGAAGAGGCCGGCCTACTCGGAGAACCTGAGCCCATGAAAAATCCCCCCTCAGCTAGAAATAGTAAAAAGTATTGTCGTTATCATTAGGACAATGGGCATCACACCGATGAGTGTCGAGCTCTCAAGCAGGCAATCGAAGATCTTATCAAGTAGAGGCATTTCAAAGAGTATGTTGATGACTCTACTTCCGTAAGGGAGAAAAATCGAGAGGAACTGGGCAAGAAGCGTTGTGATCGCAAGGGTATCTGTAGCGTGGGGAAAATCTTTGGGGGACCACACCTCTGGGGAAACTCGCGAGGTGCCCAAGAAAGATATGCTCACGCAGCCCATCACGACCCTATCCGTGTGATGA